GATGGATGGATGGAGGGAGGGAGGGAGGGAGGGAGGGAGTGAGGGAGTGAGGGAGTGAGGGAGTGAGTGAGTGAGTGAGTGAGTGAGTGAGTGAGTGAGTGAGTGAGTGAGGTAGCTAGTTAGTTAGTTAGTTAGTTAGTTAGTTAGTTAGTTAGTTAGTTAGTTAGTTAGTTAGTTAGTTAGTTAGTTAGTTAGTTTCTGTGGCAATTTTTAAAATATTTTGGCCGGCTTTCAGTCAGAATCTGCACGGTGGAAAACCCTCGCTGCTGCAGGCTGTGTTCACACAGGTCTCCTCCCCTCACAGTTTCAGGATTTTTTAAAAACTTTACCGGTATTTCAATTCAATTGAGTTTATTTATATAGTGCAAAGTCACAATAGAAGTCATCTCAGGGCGCTGAACAGAAACATTCACATACATAAGGTCAGTTAAAAATCCAACAATTTTCAGTCTTGACTGAATGATCGTATACCTAGATTATTGAGCATGGACTTTTTTGGTCAGTAAATAATATTTATCTCAGGAGCCAGCAGATTTTTTTAACAGGAAATCTGATAAATGCACATGTGTCTTGGGGTTGTGTGTTCATGACTCAGAGGACAGTAGGTACGTTGGTCATTAGGGTAACTTCTAGTCACATGGCAACAGAGTGGGGGATTATGGGTATTTAATAGCAAAATTGGAACCATGAGTGAGTGGCATAGATATCATATAAACATTAGATACAGCATTGACCGCTATCGCCTATTGGTGCTGACGAGCTGTAGGGCTGCCATCTTGGAACGGTCGACCGCTCCACTCAGTGTAACCTGTTTGACTGGAGCAATGAAGTATTAGCGCATTTAATCACTCAGAGCTGAATACTGAACTCATTCTCACATTTTTTTCCTCTGTAAATCTTCGGATTACAGCCATTAAAGCTGAACACATGGTTCAGTGTATTTAAATATTCTTGGTGGGGTTAACATTAACACTAATAAAATATTCTTATGACACGTTTGCAAAACTCACAGTCACTGATACATTTTTATTAAGATTTATATATATTATATGTATATTATATATTATATATATTATATATATGTATACACAGAAACATATCTCATAAATAAATAAATATATATATATATATATATATATATATATATATATGTATATATTACTATAATTTATATTATCTAATATATAATATATATATATATATTTATATATATATTATATATACATACATACATACACACAATTATACACACAACTACACACAATTATATCCATTTTATATATAACCACATATTGCCACCATATATATACACACACATTATAATTTGTCTCTCTCTCTCTCTCTCTCTCTATATATATATATATATATATATATATATATATATATATATATAT